GGGAGGTCGTATAATTCAAGACATCGACAAATGTACACAACAAGTTCAGGAGCTACAGGAGAGCGTGGAGGTATCTCTGCTCTCGCCCTGGGGGTGGATCTCAGTATGTGATAGGCGCTCAATAATCGCATTGAAGAATTTGATGGCAACGTTTGGTCGGACCTCAAACTACCAGGGGACCATGCTGATAACAGAGCGAATCGGAAAGTGCATATAGATGGATCCAATCAGTTTGAGAGGTGGGTACACTCGGCCAATGTGGGGAAATATGCACAGGGTTAACTTTATGTGTTGGTGATGATATGAAAATTGCGAGAGAATTGTCGTTGGTTTTTGTTCACATTCGCATAACCAGTGAGGGAATCCTAAGGTCAGCTGAGGGTAGCGAACATATTCTCAACACTGTACTCGGCCGTGATCGCTTAGTTGCTGGGGCCTGTCTCTTGATGATCATGGTGATGATGCCTATGGCGTTCAGGTTCTGGTCGGAGGCTGAGGACCGAGCTTTGATGTGCGCCTTGTACAAATGTGGTTATGGGAAATGGGAAGAGATACGGTAGGTTACAGCATAGTGAGGGTAGCACAGAAGCCTCTTTGTTCAGAGCACTTTTGCGCTATTCAGTAGTGCACCAGTTCAACTTCAATTTGCAGTTGCGGACATCAGATCAAATCAAGAAGCGTTGTGATCAGCTGATGTCTATGAACTGTACGATCGTGACCATTGACTCGCACATTAACTCGTCCATTTCAGTCAAGGAAGAGAAAGCGGCTCTCGAGGAAGCTCTGCGGGCGGCCGCATCGGCTAAGAAGAAGCGCAAGCACCATAAGGACAGTGCTCAGAAAAGTGAGTGATTCGGGCTGGGCTATGGTCCGGGTTGTCGGTGGGATTATGGTTCATGGACAGGCTCGGCCAAGAAGTCTCGAAAACGGGAGCATGATGAGAACGGCTCTCCCGCATCCCAACCGAAGAAGAACGCGAAGACTCGAGGCAGCAAATCTAGTACGCATAGCTGTCTTGATGAGCTCATGCTTCATTCGCTCATTCAGATGCTACTCCTTCCCGATCTCGAGGCAGC